ACCGCAAGGAGCCCCTAGGCACACTACATGAAGCCCACCATTACTGACAACCGGAAACACCATTGTCAGTTAGTGATGGTCAATGGGAAAACTGCCCAAGGCCTCAGGGACAGTGGAGCCACCATAACCTTAGTCCAGAGGCACTTGATTGACAACTCAGAATGACTGGGGAAATCTGTTGCTGTTCGAGTGGAAGGGGGTGATATTTATTGGATTCCCACTGCCCAGGTCCACCTAGACTGGGGTGCTGGAGCCAGCAATATCAATGTGGGAGTCATGAAGGAGTTGCCTGCAGAGGTCGTATTGGGCAATGACATTGGGCCGCTAACCTCTCATCTGCCCCCTACTGAGACCCAGGTAAGCCAACCTATCCAACCCCTGACTGTAGAGTCTCTTCCCTGGGATACCCCAGAGGATTTTGGGAGGGAAGTAGTGGGAGACCACTCACTAAGAAAGTACAGGGAAAAGGCTAGGGTAGGCCAAGGGGGAATAGGAGGGGAACAGTTAGTCTGGGAGGGTGGCCGGTTGTACAGGCTTACGGAGACCCGGGTCAATGCACCCAGACCCCGGCAAAAATGCCAGCTGGTAATTCCAAAGAAGTACCGGCGGGAGTTATTGCAGATTGGACATGACGTCCCATTAGCAGGGCATTTGGCGATACACCGGACGTTACACCGGGTAACCCAGAACTTTTTCTGTGCTGCGGTATCCGATTACGTCCGGAACTATTGCCAGACCTGCGAGGTGTGCCAAAGGGTGGGTAAAAAGGATGACAACCCCAAAGCCAAAATGGTCCCGATGCCCATCGTAGATCTAGCGCTACCCTTCACGAGGGTAGCGGTAGATCTCATAGGACTGCTGGCCCAGCCTAGTCGCTCTGGTAAGCACTATATTCATACTGTTAAGACACCCCTGGCGTCGTTAAACGATACCGCCGTTTAGTTAGCCTTCCCCTTCTGCAATACCAATAACTCCGTTCGCATAAACTGCAGTATACGAACCAACCTCAGGGGAAGCGGCAATCTCCCGACCGGGATCCGTGAAAGGCTCCAAACTCCCGAATGGAAATCCACGAACTGCTGCTAGCCGCCGAACAACGATATCCACCAAGCGGCTTTCGGTTCCAATCAGCAGTCTCTAAGCGCAAAGAAGAAATCCCCCCAATAACGAAACAGAAGCTCCGCATTGAAGGTCAAACAGGATCTGGCTTTACTGTGGGCTACCTGCCCGTATTTATGCAGGTCTCCCACTTGGTGGACACTCCCCTAGGGGACCAAATGGGAGACTGGAATTACAGATAGACATGGGGACATTCCAGACATACAGTTACAGGTTTTACCCACAGTGCATTATGATTCCCTCCCCTCTGCCCTGGAGTTAATTACCAATTAACTCAATTAACTCCAGGACAAAGTCAGTCGCCATTTTAAACATAAAATCACAAAAGACATAAAAATACATAACTTTAAAATAACCGAACATTTCCCATTCGTATTACATATCCCCAGATAGCCTGGATCTGAGTGCATATTTTTGGCGAATAGCGCTCAGATCCCACACACATAGTTCAATCGCCATGGAGTCAAAGTTCTTACAGTCTTTCGGTATACGAATGACTCCATGGGAATGCTATCTGGGTTCAGTCTTTTCGTATGCTCCAAAACTCCCGAATGGCCGGTGTTCGTATGGTTTCTTGGAGGCAGCCAGGCGTTCCGTTGTTTCAGCGGTGTTCGGCAGAAAAAGTGTCCGTTTTTAGTTCCACAGAAATAGAGCCAAACACCGCTGGGCGTTCGCTTGATTTAAAATGGCCGCTGCCTCGTGGTCGACATACGAACGACGACCACCCTTAATTCGGTTTAATTGAGAAGTGTCTGCGGTTAACCACAATGTTCTAATTGGGATCAATAGGTTAACCAGCAGCACACTTCTCTCCTGGGTGGCCGTCCGTTCGGCAGTTTTGTTCGGGAAAAAGAGTCATTCGAATGGCTGGGCTATAGAAACCAGCCATTCATACGAACGGGAGACAAACAGACGAATGCAATAAAAATCCAAGCAGACAGATGGTTCTGTCACAGTACAGTAGGGGACTACATGGGGAACTGAACAATACATACATTTCTCCCACCATGCACTGCTGCACGAAAGGGATACTCCCACTAGAATATACAGCTAAGTGGATTATCCCTCCGTGCAGCAGAACTTACATTTCACATTAAAATACATAATTCCCATAATATTCCCTTCATTTAAACGAATGGACATTTGGTAGATAGCTAGGGTCTGAGCGCACCGTTCGTGAGAATACCGCTCAGATCCCAGCCTAACTAACCGAACGCCGCACAAAACACACATTATATTCAAGTTATACTCAAAGTACCGCTTGACATAAGGGGAACAAACTACCAAACGGCCGGGGCTCCCGAACGGCCTGGAAGTCCAGCAGTGTTCGCGTCATCGAGTAGCCAATTTTAGTTCCAGGCGCTCGACGACCAAACACCGCTGGGCTAACAAAGGAACCAAGATGGCCGACCGCCTCGTGGTCGGTAGCCGAACGATGGTCACCTAGGAACACACTTGACTACCGATTGCAACAATGTTGCAATTGGTTAATGGGCGCCACACAAACTCCTGTGTGTGGTCGTCCATTCGGTAGGTTATTCGTTTCACGAACAGCGTTGAAACTCACTGTTCGTGAAACTACAGTATGAATGCTAGGGTTTTCATGCCGCCAGCATACGAATGCCCTCATTCACCTGAAATGCAATTACAATCTGTCAGGGTTTCTTTGCTGTTTTAAACAGCAACCCTTTCTGTGTCAGTGAAAGAGTTTTCAGCTGCAATTACTATCAGCTCCTTTTGCATGTTGCCACGGTTACTCACCTGAGAGTAGTAATCAACCCTGCTGCTAATCAGTGCTGCCTATTTAAGCAGCAAATCCCAGAACCTCCTTGCCCTTGCGTGGTTTCCTGTTCCCCAGAAGTCTCCTTGTTCCTGTGTTTCCTGTTTGCTCCTGGTTCCTGACTCCGGCCTTGTTCCTGACTCCGCTGCTCTCCGTGCTCCTGATCCTGGCTTGTCTGACTACCCGCTCTGGTGACTGACCCCTGCTTGATTCCTGGACTTTGCTTTTGTTATTTATTTGTTATTTATTAATAAAGGTGTGTTTGCATCTAGTTCTGTCTCTGTCTGGTTCCTGGTCCCTGACATTACGCAAGGGCCATGAATACAGATGGTACAGGCAAGACACCTATACCTAACCTACTTACCCGGTGGGACCAGCAGAACCACTATTTGGACCAGTATGCCCATCTGGATCCAGTACCCGGCCAGCCTGCGATTGCGGCCGTCTCTGCCTCACTTCCTGTTCTAGCACCGGTTGTAGCCCCCAAACCTGTAGCGGCTAGAGGAATGACTGGGTCTGTCCCGCTCCCTCAGTGTTTTGGGGGCAACCCAGCTCAGTGCAAAGAATTTATAAATCAGGTTAAAGGATACCTTGAAATCCTGCCCCAGGCATTTCCTACAGACAGTGACAAAGTTCACTTCATGATTTCTTTGCTGTCTGAAAAGGCCCTAGCTTGGGCAAAACCTCTCTGGGAGGCAGAGAAGCCTATTATTTACAATTACCCTGAATTTGTTGCGTCCTTTAAAAGGGTTTTTGATATTCCAGCTCGCTCCACCCCTACTGCCGAACTACTCATGTCTAATGCTCAGGGCACAAAAACTATTGTCGAGTATGCCAGTGAATTCCGTACCATGGCAGCAGAGGGTGGCTGGAACAACGAGACTCTCGTGGCTGCCTTTGCACAGGGCCTCTCCGATGTGTTTAAAAATGAGATTGCAGCCAGAGAATTACCTAAAGATCTCGAGGAACTGATATCAGTTGTCACCCTCATTGACATCAGACTCCGAGAGAGATCCTCATCCAGGGAGCGCCTGCGGAGGCCTCCTGTATATTTGGCACCGAGCTTTTCTTGCCCACCCAAACCTCCCTCACCTCCCATGCCTCCTGGTCCTGAGTCCTCTGTCTGTGTGGAGCCAAGGCGGTTAGGCTTCTCACGCCTCTCGGTTGAGGAGAGAGCCTTTAGGAGGAGGGAGGGCCTGTGCCTATACTGCGGACACCACG